ATGAAGAAAAAAATTAGGGTTTTAATTTAAAATTAAAAAGTCGAATATAGCCCAAAATAAACTATGATATTTAGAAAAACAGCGCCTGTCATTTTTTTTAAACCATCCTGTATAATAAAATTTAAATAATTTGAAGATTGAACTGAAAACAGTTGAGAAAAGTACAAATTCTTTAATACAGGGTGATTTTTAAAAAACGTCAGGCACTGTGAAATTTTAATTTATGTTCCGATTTCAACAATTAAAAAAATAAATCATATAATAAAATATATTAATTAAAAAAAATTAAAAATTTAGGCAACATTTTCTTTCTTTTGCCGCTTTCTTCTTTTTCAAATTTTAGTAAAAATTATTCTTTAAAAAAACTATAAAAATTGAAAAAAATCAGGAAAAAATTAAAAGTATCAATTTTTTTTTTGAAAAAACCACACAATGTTATTTCTTGGTCGAAAAATTTAAATGGCACGAAATAAAATCATGATTTTAGAGGATTTCTACAGGGTGAAATAAATATTTGCAATTTTTTCTTTCATTTGCTTTTTTTTGTTATTACAATAACGGCATTGTCTTATTTGACAGCATACAACTAGATTTTATTAATTTTTAATATTTTTTTTTTAACTTTGACATTTTTTTTAAACAATATTTCTAGTAAAAGTGAAACATATCACACATGTCTGTACCAAGAAAATTAATACCTTCCAAATTATGAAGAAAAAAATTAGGGTTTTAATTTAAAATTAAAAAGTCGAATGTAGTTGAAAATAAACTATGACATTTAGAGACATTCTAAAATTGTCAGCTTATACTAGATTAAAGACATTTAATTATTTTTTTTAATTTTTGTAATCGGGCCATAAATAAAAATTCTACAGCGCCTGTCATTTTTTTTAAAACCAGCCCTGTATAATAAAATTTAAATAATTTGAAGTTTGAATAAATTTCTCAACTGAAAACGGTTAAGAAAAGTACAAATTCTTTATACAGGGTGATTTTTGAAAAACGTCAGGCACTGTGAAATTTTAATTTGTCCCGATTTAAAAAATTTAAAAAAATAAATCATAATAAAAAATTTAGGC